ATGGATCTTCTGGTGAATTGGACTGCTGATCCAAGGTCAGACACCAGACAAGGATGTAGAGGTGAGAAGAGGGTGTTGTCATGGAAACTGAAAATACTAGTTTTGAGGTTGTGAGAGTGATACTGGTCCCCTCTTCTTCCTTAGTGTTGAAAGATAAGGTGGCTGGATAGGGAAACTGAGCGCACAAACTGTTGCGCTTTAGATGTTCGAGTGAAACAGTTCTACTTTTGTCCATCTTCACACAGCTTAGTCCTGTGGACTCCTGGAGCAAAATTGTCGTGCTTTCACTATTAAAAGTAAATAAAACAAAACTGCAAACTGCATAAACTGGTTTCAGAACCAGTTTTTTCCTATGTTATTTCTGGTCATTGGCTATAGAGAGTGCCCTACCCATAATGTGTTTTGTCCGAGCTGTTTGAGGGCGTGGTGGGAAGGACCATAGCTAGGGATTGTCACTGGGGTCGTGTTGTGTCCCACTATCCCACAGGAGCTTTTTTGATATGGTTCTGAGAAGAGACTTCAGGTGCAGAGCAAAGCCCTGCATTTCTGTGGGCAATGTCACGCTCCTCCCCAAAAGAAGCAGTCCTACTGAGACTGCGTCTCTCGTTTTTGAGTTTGGCGTTGGGACACACCACTGACCTTGCGCTTAGGTTGGATGACTGTATCTGTTTCTCCGGGACTGACAACCAGATGCTGACTGTCTCCAGCTAGTGCCTGTTACAAAAGGCAGCATGCAGTCCTGGTTCTGTGGCTGGGAGTGTGCATCAGGAAAGTATCGCTGTTGGCTTGCTCTCTACTTAATCTTTTTCTGAAGCATCTGCTGCTGGAGATGGGACCGTGGGCTTAGAGGAACCTTAAATCTGTTCTGGTGTGCCTGTGCTTTGCTTCATTTGGAATACTATCTGTGTGTGTGTGTTTCTGCGACGTGCAGCTGCTAAAGTACTCTAGCCAAGCTGTGCTCACTGGGGTGCTCTGGCTCATCCTGTAGCAGGCTGTAGGACGGTTGAAGAAGAGGTGATCAAAAGACTGCCTAATCCGTCTTGCTGTGTAAATATACGCTGTATGTGACATAGAGCAACATAAACTCGTGTGTGTGGCTCACCCCCTTGTTCTGATCTCGTTCTTGCATAGGTCAAGTTGTCTGTTGAAGTTTTGCAGTACTTGTGCCAAAGCTCTGTAGTTTTAATTTTCTTTCTGTCTAATGGAGTCCCCATCATTTTCAGTTTTGAGTCTCATTAACCAAAATAAGATTGATAGTAACAGATAGCAGAGGGTCTCTCTTCCTCTTGGGGAAAGCCTTGCAGCAAGTCCCCTGGTCAGGCAGGGAAGTGGAGTTCTGCTTCTGTTGGGTGGGAACCGGGACACATGGCGATGGGGATGTGGGTTCCTGCGCGGGAGGGAGCTGTGCAAGAACTCGGTCTCAAAACTGAGTCTTTAGGAGACTCTTCATTACATATTGTAGGAAATAGATAAGAGGAGTGGAAGGAATGAAGGTCAGCAGAATTACAGTAAGAAATTTAACAATGTTTTTAACCTTTATTAGACTGAAATATGAGTATTCAGAATAGTAATTCAGAAAAGACAGATAAATCTGTCTTTTCTGAATTACTATTCTGATACTTCTGATATATATTTGTCATTCTGTATGTGATAAATGCATATAAATAAAAACTTGTTAACAAAAGGCTCAAGAGATACAAAACAGGAACTGTCAAAGTAATACGTTTGTTAATTGGCAGCTCTGGATTACTGGCATCCAAATACTGTAAAAGACCTACCCTGGTGTCTGGATGGTTTAAGCTAATTTTGAGTTAAGATGTGAACTACTGAGAAGTCTCAGGGGACTGGAAAAAAGATACATATTTTGCCATTAGAAGGTTTTTAAAAAGTGAATAAAATGACCTGGAAAATTATAGTGTCTTTAGGAAAATTATAGTTTCTTTAGCTTGAGTTCAATTTTTTTTTCTCCAGTAGAGAAGTATATCAAAAACAAACTGGAAGATCATACATTAATCCCTCACACCAGGGAAATTATGGGGAGCTTAGATTTTGTCAAATATCATTTGTAGTGAAATTTCAAGCTTCGTTCGTAAAGGCAGCAGCGCTGATGTAGTACGTTCCTGTGTGTGACTTCCTTGATACTGCACAATCCTCCTTTTTTTTTTTAAAACAGAACAGTGCAAGCTAGAGTGACACAGAGTAAATGAGTTAAGCATATGCTTAACTAACATAACGTCTCAAAATGACTTGGGGAATAGTTATTGGGTATGTTTTCGTATATATCTGTGTACTGTGTGGAGCCAGTTTCTAGCCCTAGCCGCCTTAATATATTTAGTGATTGCCCAGAGAGGTTGTGGAGTCTCCGTCCTTGGAGATATTCGGAAGCCATCTGGACAGGATCCTAGGCAATGTGCTCTAGGTGACCCTGCTTGACCAGGGGAGCTAGACTAGATGATCTCCACAGGCCCCTGCCAATCTCAACCATGCTGTGATTCTGTGATTGCAAGACAACAGCAATTCATTACTGAGGAAGTTTCTAACTGACAGAAAGGTGTGGAAGAGAAAGATTTAAGACACAAGAGGTGACAACTGAGAGAGAGATGGATACTCTCGTAAAGCAGATGCAATCCAATATCAAGGAACAAGAACTGCAGGTTGCATTTACGGGCAGGGGACTGTCTCTCGGGAAGCAGCAAGCCTGGGTAATTTGCTGAACACTTGCAATATGACTGCCCAGCAAGAAGATCTAATGCAGTTCTTGTACCTGAGCAAGGATATTGAGGATCAGGGAACGCTGAACGTTTTTGCCTTTGGTGCTGGCACAATAGTGGTGGAGTAGCGCGTGTCATCACCAGTAGTCCTGGCATCACCAGCTCGAGAAGTGTGTTCAGCTGGAATGTTAAAGGGAAAAAACATGTGTAGGACCAGGAAACCTGGCTCAGATAACTCAATGTGTTTAGTTCATAAATGCCAACCTGGTGGAGAGCTTTCCGTTCTAGCAGACAAAGTTCTGACGGCTGAAAACTGAAACGATCCATGTTCAGGCTGCAAGCTACATGCAAAAGCTTAACAGTGGTATTGGATTGCAGTAGGACTTAATTTGGTGAAGTGCTATGGCCTATACTGTGCGAGAGTCGAGAGCTGGTAATCTCAGTCATTTCTTCTGGCCAGAGCCTTTGGATCCCTGCCAAGCAGTCTGAGTACTGAAGAACTTTGGCCGACTGCATCCATTCTTTCAGACTTCAGCATAACAGTAGCAGTGGCAGTTACTGCTTATATGGAAAAGGAATATCAGGAAGGAATATAATTTTTTTTTTTTTTTTTGTATTTCAGAGATGGAGATGAGCTTCTGGAAACAGAGCACATTCTCGTTCTCCTTTACCTAGACAGCTTAGCTGCTTGTGGATAGAAGCATGAGTAATGGAGCTTCCCTGACTTCAGCTAGAGATTGTTCTTGGTCTCTTATGGGAACCTCTGTATTTCGTAATGGTATTGCTAGGTGGAACAGTACCAGGAGATCCTGTTCCTTTGTCCATGCTTGGATACATGCTTCTTCTGGATATTGAAGAATGCGAATGATTTTGCTGTGGTCTAAAAAGCATCTCTGGCAGGAAGATACTTTAAGAAGTGGTAAAGGTTTTCTTTGTGGTTAGCAGATAACTATCTGTTTCTGTGTTCACTGATTTGGTCTGTTTGCTGCAGTTCAGTTCAGTTCTGTTGTTCAGCTTCTCTTTGTCTTCGTGTGAGTCATATTTGCATCCTGAGCTTGCATTTTGACAGCCATTGCTTGGCTGAGCTCTACCCAACTTTGAAAGGGCCAGTCATTGCTTTCCCCTGCTTGGAAAGCCTTTCCTAATTTGGAAGCTTGACTACATTTTGGCAAGGTTGAGGGATTAATCTTTCAAGGTCTTGCTCTACCTGTTGTTAAGTTAAAACTTCTTGTCCATATACAGGAGGAAAACATTTTCGTTCTGTAGTAGCTTCCTTCAGTTCAATCCGTGAGGAGATATTTATTCTGCGTTCTCATCCTAAATAGTTACCAAAATCAATTTCAGAAGTCCTTTCTAACTCAGAGTTTCTATAATCTCCCTCATACCTAGATCTTATATGTTCAGAAGACTCTGCATATTTGTTGTGGTAAGAATAAAAGAGTTGGGTTTAGGCTCTCGTAACTTTTGGATGATCAGCAAAAAGGGAATGCAACAGTGCCTAATTGGATTAGGTTGTGTGTCAAAAATGATAAAGCTTAGCTCTGCTGATGGTGCCTGAGTGATTTAGAGCTCATTTTACTAGAGTTAACGACATTAATGAAATCCCGTCTTAAAACTTTCTATATCTGGTGTTCCTGTAACGTTTTCCTCCAGCGCAGAGTTCTCGCTCATGTATTCATCACTGGGAGAGCAACCCTGCAAATGTTAATTGGCGCTCCTTAGCCATTTGTCTTAGTGCCTGCTCCAGTCTGCAAGGGTTGGTCGGCTGGAGGGAGTTCCTCATAAGAGTTAAGTTGTTCACAGGGAACTGTGACTGCTCAGCGGTGCGTCTGCTGTCGTTTTCTCTTCCTCTCTCTACCTGTGAGTTCCACTTTCACAGCACGCTGAGGTTTAGCAGCATGGACACGGATGGTTGAGTACTGCACGGTCTACAGTCCGTGCTGCAGGGTAATGCTTTTGTACTGCCCCAGCAAAGACAGATAGCAGAAACCCCTCAGTTTCAACAGCCCTGAAAAACGGTGGTTTAGAGGCACGACCTCTCGGTTGCTGGCAGATAGCTGGATTTTTAAGCCTCGGAAGGAACTGCCAGTAGCACTTCAAACTCCAACTAGTTGGATTGATGCTGCGCTAATACCAAACCCAGATAATCCTCACCCAGGTTGTTCTCAGTTAATTGCACTGTGCCATAATTGTAACACATGACATCACAGCATATCTTTTCACAGCTTCTAAGACTGTGTTAGATGCCTTTGCAGTATAATTAAATATGTCTTAACTCTTTTATTTCAGGCTAGAAATCTTCATACAGGAGAACTGGCTGCTGTAAAAATAATCAAGTTAGAGCCTGGTAAGTTTTGCATTCTTTCCTTGCATGTTTGGATTGTGTGTTTTCTTTCATGAAACATTTTCAATTTTTTTGTACGTTTATTTTCACAAGGCTGTGAAGTCCCGCAGAAAGTAAGCATTATCTGCTACAACTTCAGTTGTTAGATGGCAGGAAGCAGTGCAGAATGCACCATTAGTTTTTGGTTATGTCCTGCTTGCTGTTTCCGTGTTCGTTCTTATCTACCTTATCTGTTGTTTCCTAAAAGATATTGCAATTACAGTGTGTTAGGTCCTTAGTACAAAGAGAAAGTTAAGGACAGAAGGTAAATTTTGAGCCTTTGTATGGAGCTCTGGAAGAGTAGAGAGTTGGTGGGCTCTGTGATTGGAAGGGGGAAAGGACCAGGCAGTGATGCTAACGCTTACGAAAGGTGTGCTGGGAAAAACGATCTGACGCTTATTACGTGTTGTCTTTTTTCTGACCTGACCTGAATGAAGAGGATGCCTGCCGCTATCGTTTTTCCCACACGTTCCTTCTTGCTCCTCCTGAAACAGGGCAGGAAAAGCTAACTTGCTGCCCAAGAGGTGTGCTGAGCTGAAGACTGATCTTTGAGTCCTGCATGGAGAGGTGAAATCAGGAAGTGTGTCCCAAGTGGAAACGAGGAGAGGAGCTTCTTATTTCCTCAGTCATAATTCTGTCCCACCTGAGCATCTTCTATTTGTACAAAGAAGTAATCTCTCGTTACTTGTTCACTGGAATACCTTTCAAATCCCTCTTTAGCGTAATCCTCTTCTGTGTCTCTCTACCGTGTTAGTCTCTCCACAGTTGTCATTTGCCTGAACTCCTGTGCTGCATCCATTTAGGATACCAGTCCTCTGGGGCAGGGGATGAGGGAGGCTCTCACATTCCCACTGTGAATGCAGGCTCGCTCGGTGCCTGCGTAGTAACACATGTAGCCTATGAAACAAAAGAGACGGTGCAAGTTAGTTTACGGTCGGAGAGCTATAAAGTAGGATTTATGGAGACATGGCATAACTTGTATGACTGGAGTGCTGCAGGGAATTAATTCAGGCTTAATTAGGCAGGAAAAATGAGGGGAGATCAGAAAAGGCACATGGCAATAGGAGAGGCTGAGGAAACTGTGTTTTTCAGTCTGGAGAAGAGAAGGCTCAAGAGGGATCTAACCGCTGTCGACCATGGCCGAAAGCAGCCTTACAGAGAAGGTGGAGCCAGACTCTTGGAGGTGCACAGAGCAGAGGTGAGAGGCAGCAGGCCCAGGCTGCAACAGGGCCTCCCCTGTTCCAGAAGGACACAGGAAGCAATTCTTCATGTGCAGAGTGGTTATGCACTGGAGCAGGGCCCAGACAAGTAGTGGGATCTTCATCCTTGGAGATTTTCAGAAGCTGACTGGACAAGACCCTGAGCAACCTGACTAACTGTGTAGTTAGCCCCGCTTGAAGCGGATGGCTGGACTAGGAGACCTCTGGAGGTCCCTGCCGTCCCAAGTCTTGATTCTGGGTTTTGAATACCAGTGAAACTGAAACATGCTCTCCAGTCCCTGATAGCATCGCCTGTTCTTGACTGGACAGGTTTAAAGACTATGATTTTGATGGAGAGCTTGGAGTCAGTATATTGCTAGCAGGTGAGGTGCATGTGATGTTTTCCTATTTCTTATTTAAAAAAATACAGTCCCATTTACTTGTCTTTATTTGGTTCTGCTCAGTCACTCAGGTTGAGAGACCCGGGCTCTTAAACACCGAGAGGCACCTGCTCATGTCTTTAGGTCCCTGACGAGCAGAAAGGCGGCCCTCTCTTCGCCCGGTCTCTCAATAACATATTTCTCCTGGGAGCTGAACCCTGGGGCTGTGCCCATCCTAGTAGTATGTTATGTAGTTTTTCTAGCTTTCTATTAAATCCTGGCAAACAGAGCATTTTAAATCTACTGTGCTTACCCGAGAGTTCTGGCCAACTTAAGCACCTGCAGGTCTTCCACTGAAGGCTCTGCAATCAGCAGGATATACAGTGAGCAGGTAGTCTTACGAAGCAAATCCTTCTAAATTTTCTTTTAGCAACATGAATAAAGTTTCAGAGTAGACTTTTAAATGGAAGTATGTACGTTCATCTGCTGTAAAAGTTTAGTATTGCTCGACTGATCTCTAGGCTGGCTAAATTTTTCCAACATCCCTGTTACATTTGAATAATTATTTTGAAACCTTTGATGAGAGTATGACTTAGTGCCTCGTGCCTCACCCCGTATTTCTTGGTCTTGAAATCCCAGATCAAAACCTTTAGCAAATAGTTAGCAAATAGCGATAGTGTCTTTATAGCCAGCCTTTTTATTTTTTTTGGTCTTCTAAGAATTTCTTGGTGTTTTTTAAGAGAGAAGTCTTACATGGCATCTTCAGAAATCTTTGCTATTTCAGCTTCTTTGAAATGGTCAAGCCACTATGCATGAATTTGGGTTAACTCACCAGATAGTTTTTACCAAATAAAAATGGGGTGCAGGAGAAAAGAGTTAGGAATGTTTCTAAAACAGAGAGTTTTCGTTGTTTTACCCCACCCCATGTTTTCTTCCTCTCAAGTTAGATTGTCAAGGAGACTTAGGTGCTGTTTATAAAGTAGGAGAGTAAGGCAGCATGAGTCTCCGTATGTCATGTGGTCAGTGGTGGGGGAGTATAGGTAAAGAAGAGACGAT